GATGGGTAAGTTAGTTGGCAACGCAGAGTAAGAATTTACTTTTATTGGCAAAGCAAGTTATGGCTCACTCTTACACTATGCATAATATATACACTTTAGCCATTTTAATCACCTGCAAATAGTAATGTGGTGTGACACTTATGAAAAGTGCAAATAATTATTGTCAACGTATAGAATGTGAGGTCCTGCAAATATAGTTAGAAGAAATACTGTTTAAAATGGTTATATATAGAGTATAGCATGCCAGACACTGCTACGATGTATGCATGATCAATTTTTAGGGATTTTTGACTCTAAAGGAGGACAACAACATGAGGAGCAGAGCTCAAAGAGGAAGACATATGGTCACCTTTGCTGATATGAATGGACAAACAAGCAAATCTCCTCCAAAAGATGAGAAAAGTGAGAGGCATTTAAGGTGGGAGTGTCATGGTTTGATTTCTTGTCCTTTTATATTTGTTTAATCATTAACCATCTGTTATACTGTATTTACTAGATGTTATTTGTTAATCTGTGTATTCTATTATTTATTTATTCATAGAAAATCTCCAAGACTTCAGGCAGAGGGGGAGAGGTCGGCAGATGAGCGCACAGGTGGGCATGTCAGGATATTTGATTAACATCAGACAGCAGTTTTGTTGGTTTTCAGCTTACTAAACATGAATCCATTTCTTTCTTCAGATGAGATGGAGTCAACTCCCACTTCTCGAAACCTCCGTGCTCGGATTCAAAGGCGAGAAGAAGACAGTGCCGTGAGACGTAGCTCCAGAATCACACGATATAAGCTTGACGCTAGGAACCAGTCGGTCCTCTATGACAGGCTCATTACGAAGTATGCACTAATATAGAAAACACACTCTGATATTTCTGTGTTTGTAAGCACAGTGACTAATTTGTCAGATTTAATACCTTTATATTAAGACTTTCAAACTTTGTGTGCAGATATTTACACGATTCTTGGCACTCATAGGCTGTTTTCACCTATTTTAGCACTGCAGAGGCTGTACTTCAGAAGATGGATGACATGCAGAAGATGCGTCGGAGACTGAGGAGCAGAGACAGTGAGGAGGAGGTGTGTCATTGACTCCTCCTGACTCCTGTTGCGATCAGTCAGGGCTTCACTCAGCTGTTTTTGTGTTTCTTTTTAGAATTTGAGAATTTACTCTGGGACAAAAAAGAAGAGGATCACAGAACCTTCAGTAAGAGGACAA